GACATATTCACACCTAATATGATTTTGATTGTACCAAAAATACTGTTTATTGTTTACCTTGTACTATTTAAACTTATGTTAATTTAATTTGGGTGTTTATTCATTCCGAAGAGGTGGCTTACATTAGGTTAGGAAACGTCAGAAACACTATTTTTCTACACATTGTGACATAACGAAAGTTTATTTTTTATAGGACCCTATGTTCTCCTAAACCTTTGAAAACATCACGCATATACAAGGCCGAACAATGCTGTTATCTGAAATACCTTAAAAATTGAAAAATTCCAACCTCAAAGACACCAAAGGTTAGACATCAAGGAGTTAGAAGATGTATTTGGAAGATCGGCGATAGGTCCAGAAATGTTTAATCCAAGCAGGCCAGTTGTTTAGAAGGATACGTAGCTCGAGGTGCTTAATCTCGATCTAGTGCATGGTGGGGCCCTTCATTTAGGGTGAAACCATTCAGGTCAGTGTCGAAAACTCAAAGAACTACTTATTTCGAAGATTCGTATAACCTTACTGACTTAGTTATAGTCAGTCTTGACCGAAGTCCAAAATAAATATACACGATCTATAAGTGCAACACAGAGAGTTCAATTATTATTATATTTTCAACTCCATAAGTATAATCAAATCCAAAAGATATTTAACACCAGAAGTACTTGAGGATACAACGGATATTCTAGTTTTGCAACTAGCAACCAGTAGTATCTTCTATAATCGTTCGTTCCCAGTCAAATAGAAACCAGAAGTCAGACGAGGAGAGACAGGAAAGATACATTTGATGCGTTACCAATATATCGAGATACTTCGTTCGTAACTGGCTATTGTAACGTAAGAGCTGTGTCCCACGCGGAGTTGAAACGTGATCTGGTACGGATGCATGACCGAAAGCCTTCAGCTAAACAAGTCCACTTAAACAACGTGTTCAGCATCCAATGTCGAAAACTTAATGAGCTATTGATTTTGGGGAATTATTTACAGTTAGAGATCACTCCCCCCTAGTGAGGTAGTGATGCCCCTAAGACGTGACCAGCCAGAAGTTTAAACCCAACGAGTTTGTCGTTGGTGAGCACTCTTCTGATAGCTTGCTTCGTTTAGCAGCATCTGGTCGTCTTTCCTTAAACTATGGGACCAAAATGTACAACATAGCAATTAAGAAATATAGTACAATGAAAATTTCGGTTCCTTGCGAAACTTCGTCGTTCTTTTCAAGCCGTCCTGAAAAAGAGGAAAAATAAAACGTGTGAGTGCATGTCGAAAATGGGGCATGCAATGGCCCATCGAGTGAATCTGTCTACTGCCGTGAGGATGTGGGTGAAAGAGTTTGACTGTGGCAGGGGCCCAACTAAATCCAAATGGATGTGCTGAAAACGTCTATCAGGTATAGGAAATTTTCCGATTGGACTGATAGTATGCTTTTGAATCTTGCTACACTGACATTGTATACAATTTCGTGTCCAGCGTTTAATATCTGAGTTGATTTTTGGCCAAACAAAGCGTTCAGTGATGAGTTTAGTGGTATCCCTAATGCCTGGTTGTGACAGGCCGTGGAGGTGTTGGAATATCTTTTGGCGACATGCAAGTGGAACAAACGGACGATTGTTACCTGATGATGTGTCACAGATGATGGATGCGTCGGAGAATGGGATGGGTACAGGTTGGAGATTCAGGCGAGACTTTTCTTTGCAGGTTTTTAGCTCTGCATCGTCTGCTTGAAGTTTTGCGATTATTTCTAGGTTGACGTCATGGTTGAATGCAACTACATTGATGTCTTTTCTCGACAACGCATCTGCTACAATGTTGGAGTGACATTTGATAAACTGAATGTCTGTGGTGAATTGTGAGATGTAATCAAGCTGTCTCGCTTCGCGTGGTGAATGTCTGTCATACGACATACTAAAGGAGTGGCACAGGGGTTTGTGATCCGTCATGATGGTAAAATCCCGGCCCTGTAGCAAAAAGTTGAAGTGTTTAACGGTTAAATACATGGCTAAGAGTTCACGACCGAATGTGCTATAACGCTCTTGTACAGGTGATAACCTTTTAGAGAAGAAAGCAATGGGTGTAATCGTATTGTTTACTCGTTGTTGTAATACTGCCCCTACGGCTTTTTGTGTTGCGTCCGTACAGAGGATCAGATGAGTTTTGGGGTCAGTATTTAGATGCTGTAGCATGGTGGCGTCAGCAATCAAAGATTTGGCTTTTTCAAATGCCGTTTAGGCATCGGAAGGTAACTTGAATAGTTGGTTCTTTTCCTTTTTGCTACCTGATTTATCGTTTTTTAGTAAGTCAGTTAACGGTTGTAGAACGTCGGCACAGTTAGGTAAAAATCGACGGTAAAAATTGAATGCACCCAGGAAGCGACGTAATGACTTAACCGAAGTGGGTTCAGGATAGTTGGTGACGGCTTCAACTCTCTTTGGCAGAGGTTTAATACCTTGTGCATCAATATAGTGTCCTAAGAATTCTAAGGCAGACGTACCGAATATGCATTTAGTAGGGCTGATAACTACGCCATATTTCTTGAATCGTTCAAAGAGAATCTGCAGATGATGGACATGCTCTTTAAGTGAGGAGCTGGCAATTAGGACGTCATCGATGTAAACAAATACAAAATCTAAACCTCGCGTGACTTCGTCCATAAATCGTCGGAATGTTTGCGCGGCATTCTTAAGCCCAAATGGCATCCTCAAGAATTCAAACAACCCAAAAGGTGTGATTACAGCTGTTTTTTCAATATCCTCAGGTGCCACTGAGATCTGATGATAAGCTCTAACTAAGTCTAGTTTTGAAAAGATCAGTTTACCGTGCAGGTTTAGTGAAAAATCATGTAGATGAGGAATAGGGTATCTGTCTGGAACTGTCTGATTATTCAGACGCCTATAATCTCCACAAGGGCGCCAATCTTGATCTTTTTTGGGAACCATGTGCAGTGGCGAGGCCCAAGGGCTATTAGACTGTTGAATTATCCCTAGTTGCATCATATGTTCAAATTCTCTTTTAGCGGACTGCAACTTATTGGGTGGTAGTCTCCTCGCCTTGGCGCAGATAGGTGGACCAGTTGTAGTGATAGTATGTTGAACATGGTGTGTGGAGTTTTCAATTTGATAATCGGCTTTCGTTATACATTCATACTTCGATAGAAGATCGGCAAAAGTTTGACTATCAGGTCTAAGCAATCGGACACCATAAGTTTCATAATTGCAGGTGATTGTTCCGTTGACCTGTAGACTTGTATTCACGTCGATAAGTTTCTTTTTTTTTAATGTCGACAATAAGATTGTAGTTACTAAGAAAATCGGCTCCAAGGATGGGTTGTTTAACTTCAGCGACGATGAAAACGTCTACGGAGACCGATGTCTAAGATGAGTGATTGCTCGCCGTACGTTTTAATAATAGAATTGTTTGCTGCCACTAATAATAATTTAGCGTGTTGGGAGTGCCGTCGTCGGGATAGATGAAGTGGGTGTATGCTTATTTCGGCTCCAGTATCGATTAGAAAATCCGAGCCCGAAATACGATCCCTGACATGAAATAGACGGCTTGAGTTGTGGCCAGAGTCAGGCGCCGCCATTACTGCCTGGCCGGACCGTTTCCCTGGTTATCAGTGCTGGGTGAGGGGAATGCACACGGGCGTGTACAACGCCGTGCTTTTGTGCCGAATTTAGTATGATACCAACAAATTTCGGATGTTCGTTTAGGTGAACGAGATCGTGGTCTAGAACGTGATCTCCGTCTAAAAAAGGGTCTTATTTGTCTGGCCCGAACCGTTGCTACAGTAGTTTGAAGGGACTCAAGTTGATTCGTCAATTGAGATAATTGTCTTTGAATAGAGTTTAAGTAACTGACATCAGCTGCTCCATACGGCTGCATCGTATTTATATAGTTTGGACTAAAAATACTATCAGTAAAGTTAGGTGATGAACTACGAGTGGTTATTGGAACAGGATACAAATCACTAAGCTTAGGTGGAGAGTACATTGGGTTGAAGATGAGCAAAAGTGTCGTACAATGAGCGAATAAACAATATAACAATGGTATAAATGCGAGATAATAAAATACTGGGCTCACCAAATAATTGTGGGGACCAAAATGTATGATAACCAAAAATTAGCAACAAAAATATTATGTCTATAATTTATGTAACAATTAACAGTTAATAAGTTAATTACACACAAATAACAAAATAAGGGACGTTACTTAAGTCTTCAGGCTATTGCGTGTTCGGCTGAGTTTGGTCCAAATAATCCACAATTATAAAAGATTAGTAATCCCAATATGGACGATATAGATCCAGTAGGTTTACCAAGCGTAGGATTCAATAAGTATGTCACAATTGTCTATAAACGTAGATGGTATGCAATTAATATTTCATTTAACATATTAGCAGACACGGCAGAACGATGCAGATGTGAATTAGAGTGTATTTATTGAGGAGCAGTAACAGTGTCACGATATGTTGTACTCAAAACGGAAGGAAGTCGAGTTACAAGTATTCAAAGTAATACACTTAAACAACAAGTACAATTGTATAATGCTAAAGGTACAGAATATGAAAATACATGCGTAAACTATGAAAAATTATTTACAAATTAGGTTTTATGGTCCTATCTCCACACTAGACGTAACTTCAAAGGCCTCTTAAAAGAACTTAAAAAGATAGCATCCAGTACTTGCTGACGAGAGTTTTTGAACTTCTTCGTACAGATAGGATTCTTCGTGATGTTTTTTTACAATCTGTTACCAATGAATCCAGAAGATTATCTAACGAAAACCGCCTATTTAATTTTAAGGAACAAGCAATGTACTTTACACTTTTTACCAACATGTATGGTGAGTTTAGCTTACATTTATCAGCTTGAATAACATTGTGAAACTGAAAAGGTCATTTATTTTATTTAGATAAAAAAAAGTCTTAAATTTGTTTTATTATTTTGGACATTGGACGTTTATTCGCTGTCGCAATTTTTGGCTCCCGCGTCACTTCTGTCTTACGGATGCTTTATCTTATCCTTTTAAATATACTCCTGTTTGTTGGCTGTTATATCGCTGGATGCATACCTATATCTTTCAGAATACCTGTAGTAAGTTTTCGTGCTTACTGTTTCGCAATTTCACTTGTTTGTAAGAAGCACTTAGGTGGATCTAGTTTATGGACAATCTTTGAGAAACCCTTAAATGACACTTTAAGTCTTTACACACTCACTGGGGTTAGAAGAAAGCTATTAATTAGTATAAAGAATTAGGAACAGGATCTTAAGCCAAACGTGGCTGGGAGTCCGTGTTATGGTTTTCACGTTCTTACATCAGGCATGATGCCAAAATACTTTTTAGCCATACGGGTTAATGAATTTCGCTCCGCAGCTCGGGATGTGCTGCTTTAATTTTGGTCATTTTCCTGTAGACTATGGTGCCTTCATATGATGTTTTGTAGGGTAGAATTATAGTTCTTTGGTTTACCAATGAAGTGAGAATTGTTTTAAACCTTCTTTAAACACAACGAAAAAAAACTTACTGGCCGACATTGCCATAACGTTTTCGATATTTAAAAGATAGAATTGGTTAGGGAAACCCTAAAAAATATATTTAATCACTATAAATACTGTGGTTCTATCTACCACCTAAATAGTCTGGACCAAGTATGATTAAATTCTGTAGGTAGTCCATTTCAATAATGAGTTGCTTTAGTTGACTAGATAGTATCAACTTATGCATAAAATATAGCTGTATATAACGACATAGTCGAAAATCTGAATTAAAATCATGTGGTTAATATATACGTTTGTTTAGTTTATACATGTGAACTTTTAATATTTCTCTTGATTGGCATTTGGCTTTCGCTAACGATTTTAATATATTACATTTAATCACGCATGTAGAGTGGGTTTCGTTCACTTCCTGTGCCGGATGCACTATGATTTTAGAACTTCTGAACCTATATCTGACCTTGATAAGTTTTTCCCGACCGTTGCTGCTACCTTGACGTGGTGGTCGGGCTTGCCTATCGTGTTGATCCAATCGAGCTATGCTGGCTGGAACAATCGTTCCTCAAGGTCCTACCATGCCAGACAGGTCGATTGAAGAGCGGTGAGACTAAAAGCAGCAATCCCAAGGTCCGAAGGCGAAGTCGTACTGCTGACTGTACAGAGGTGTGAAAGCAGTAAGGTGTTTCCTTCAGACAACCAGCATGACAGCGATGCTGCCTTCCCACAAGGAGGGGTGGGGTTAGAAAAGGTCGACCCTAAAAATGCACACCTCGCCTTATCCCACGGATTTCCGTCTCCGGCGGTAAGGACTTTTGAAGAACGGAGCTAACACGTCAAAAATCCCCCACAAAAAGGCCGTGCGTGACCGGCCTCAAGCAGATGTCCCTTGGGCACTGCGGTCACGCACCCAGGTCGTTAAGACCAACACTAATCCAACTTCTTTTTCAGGTCCCTCAAGAAATACCCTTCCACGGTGTGGGCAGCCGGGAAGTGATACTAGCCCTCATACCCTTAGCTGCACACAAGACCAAGTTGGTCGCTTTCAAATCCTTCCTACACCTCCTAATAACTCTGTTATCTCCACGACTAACCCTTCCCACGTCCTTTTATCACCTCGCACCGCTAGGGCAAACGATTCGAGTACACAGAACGTTATTTCTGGTCTCCTGAAACCACGCTCTAAACTACATATAGGAACTTTTAATGTCCGAACATTGTGCCAAATAGGACAACAGGCTTCCTTAGCTAGGACTCTAGAATCTTACACCATCGATGTGTGCTGCGTCTCCGAAACGCGCATACAAGATCCGAGTAGTGTCATTCATTTGACCTCACCTAATCAAAATAAAGTTTCATCTCGATACACGCTTCGTGTATCTGGAAGCCCTGACGCTGCTTCCCGTGGCCTCGCTGGAGTAGGTATAGCATTAAGTCCTAGGGCAGAACTAGCTCTTTTAGACTGGATCCCAGTAGACAGTCGTCTATGCGCTGTCCGACTAAACGGATCAGTAAGGACCCGGAAAGATAGGGAAACTCGTCGTTGCCTCTTCGTCGTCTCTGCCTACTCTCCCACTGACTGCAGCTCAGACGATATAAAAGATGAGTTCTACAGGAAACTTTCTGACCTTCTCCGAGAAGCTAGGCGTTCTGATGTTGTAATAGTAGCAGGTGACTTTAATGCTCAAGTAGGTAAACTAAGTGAAAGGGAAAGACACCTGGGTGGATCTTATGGTGTCATGGCGAAAAGAACAGATAATGGCGACCGTCTGTTGCAGCTGTGCTCAGATAACCGCCTATTTCTTGCAAATACTAACTTTAAGCATAAGGAAAAACATCTTTTGACATGGCGACCCCCGAATTCGTCCCAACGTTGGACCCAATTAGATCACATCGCTATCAGCCACCGATGGAGGGGCTCGATTGAAGACTGTCGCTCATTATGGGGCACATGTCTAGATTCAGATCATGCTCTAGTGCGAGCACGTATCTGTCTGCGTCTAACTGGTCGTAGGAAAGACACTGTAGGGAAGCCTCTAAGGGTTCTACTTAATGATAGGCAAGCTAAGAATATATATCAGGAACAACTAGAAAAACAGTTAGGCAGCCATGTAAGTTGTGTCCACCCCGAGGCAGCGTGGAATGACATCCGAAAAGCTGTGGAAACAGCAGTGATGTCCGCTAGTAAGGTAAACCATAACGTTAGGGAGAAACAATGGATCTCGGCAGCATCTTCCGCACTGATAGATGCTCGTAAACTCATCCCACCTGGCTCTGAGCATAACGAAGAGCGGAGTCAACTTAAGCGCAGGCTTATAAGAAGCCTACGTAATGATCGTGAACAGTGGTGGGTAGGGAAAGCAAGAGAGATGGAAAAGGCAGCGGCAATAGGTAACAGTAGGCAGCTATTCAGACTCGTTAAAGAAACCGGCATTAGGAACCCGAATATCAGTGAAACCATCTCAGATAGAGATGGGCATATTATTCATTCTCAATCCAGGAGATTGGATCGATGGGCAGAACACTTTAGGGATCAGTTCAACTGGCCTTCAGCCACGCTTCAATTACCCACGATCCCCAGTCGTCCTGAATGGCAAATTGACGTAAGTCCTCCAACCCTCTGTGAGGTTGAAAAAGCTATAGGAAATCTGAAGCGAGGGAGAGCAGCAGGCCCTGACAGGTTGACCCCTGAGATTTTTAAGGATGGTGGTCCAGTACTAGCAGTGAGATTGACTGAGGTCTTAGGTAGAATCTGGGAACTGGACGTAATTCCATCTGACTGGTCCCAATCACTGATTGTGCCAGTCTATAAGAAAGGACAAAAGTCCTCCTGTGACAATCACAGAGGGATCAGTTTGACTAATATAGTGTCTAAAATATTAGCTTCAATAATACTAGGTCGCCTAACCAAAGCTCGTGAAGAGCAGACTAGAGAAAACCAGGCTGGTTTTCGACCTGGACGTGGTTGCATAGACCAGATATTCACCCTACGTCAGGTTCTAGAACATAGACACAAATTCAGACGTCCCACAATAGTAGTATTTCTTGACCTTAAGGCGGCATTTGACTCCGTTGATCGTGAGGTTCTATGGCAGTGTTTGTCACTGAAAGGAGTACCAAAGAAGTACATTAACCTCATAAAGGCTCTCTACTCGAACACAACTGGTCGAGTTAGAGCCTATGGCGAACTGTCATCAGAACTGATTACCACAAGTGGAGTTCGTCAGGGCTGTCCACTCTCCCCATTCTTGTTTAACTTTGTCATTGACATACTTTTAGAGACAGCACTTTCATCAGCTAAGCCTCCAGGAGTTGAACTCTTACCGGGAGGCTCACTTGTTGACTTAGAATACGCCGACGACATAGTTTTACTCGGTGAAGACGCTGACAAAATGCAGAGTCTTCTGACCACCATAAGCAACAATGCAGGCATGTTTGGGATGCGATTCTCTCCCTCGAAGTGCAAAATGTTACTTCAGGATTGGGTTGCAGCGACACCTGAACTAATGATAGGGAGTGAAGTAGTTGAGCGTGTAGACCACTTCACTTATCTTGGGAGTCTCATCAGCCCTTGTGGTCTGGTGTTTGACGAAATCTCAGCACGGATACAGAAGGCTCGTCTAGCTTTCGCCAACTTGCGCCATCTATGGCGTAGGCGAGATATCCGTCTAGCAACCAAAGGACGGGTTTACTGTGCAGCAGTTCGTTCCGTCCTACTTTATGGAAGTGAAACATGGCCGGTAAGAGTAGAGGATATTCGTAGGCTACTAGTGTTCGATCATAGGTGTCTTCGAAGCATTGCTCGTATATCCTGGGACCACCGGGTAAGTAATGCAGTTGTTAGGAAACGAGTACTAGGTAGGGATGGCAAATCGATTGATGAAGTAGTGAAACTTCATCAGTTGAGATGGCTGGGACATGTGTTACGTATGCCCGACCACCGACTGCCCCGACGTGCAATGTTTCATGGTGTAGGAGTAGGTTGGAAGAAAGCTAGGGGTGGCCAGACCAAAACGTGGCACAAATCAATGAAGTCACTGACAAGTGGACTGGGCCATGTTGGTAAGTGTAGACTACCTGGTTGGGATTCGCGAAATGATAGCGATCGATGGTTAGAGACCTTGAATGACATGGCTCAAAATCGTTTGCAATGGCGAAGATGCATCCACTCTTTGTGTTCTACCAAATTCTAATCTTCTGAATTTCTCATGTCTTTATGTTTTTCTCCTTCCAAATATATTTCACTGTACTATACTCCTTCAATAACATCTTCAAACTCTAATCTTTCCGATTACTGCTTATACTCTTACTAATTCTTCCACTATGGGATTTGAATCGACAACTGCATCTGTGTGCTAATGTGGTATGGCAACTCGAACTGATGTACGTACGTACGAAGTTCTACGTTGTGACTGACTGACTGACTGACTTGATAAGTTTTTGATTCATGTAAAAGAACAGTATCCCTTTTAATTTTTGAGCTTTGTATAATATATTTTTATTGTATGCTAACTGTCTTCTGATTAGCCAATATTTCTCAAGGTCATTCAATATTCGTTCAAAGGTCGTCCATGTTCTTTAGTCTCGCCGTACGGCCGAGA